AAGACATGCAAATACCATCGAATCACCCTGCCAGTCCTGTGTGACAACAGCCCAAAAAGGCCTTTGACCAGCTTGGAGTAGGAAAGAAGAAAGGAAGCTGTTGACGCGATCATGTTCTACAGATGAAGGAGATGTTCTCATATGAAGGAGTGTATCTCGTCCTCGTCCGTGAGTGCTTACGTGGCCCGTGCTTGTATCGACACGGCGCTTCTTTGTGCGACTGTGACGGCACCGGCATCCGGAAGCCCTGAAAACCCAGAATCCACGTGACACTTGCGTGAGTCATTGCCTTCCCACGTGACACCACGTCGCACTGGAAGTTCAGCATCCTCTTCCTCCCGTCGAAGCCAACTTCGCTTTCCATCTTCTGCCGTCACCATCGGCTGACCGCCGTTGCTTTGCGTTTTGCTCGTTGCTATGCTACCGCGTTTGCAGCGCTCATTGCCCTCGTAATGGGCTCCCATTTCGCCAGCTTGTCTTGTAAGCTCCTAAGCTAAGCAAGCTTCCTGGCACAAGATAAATATGCACCTTCGAAATGCAAAACAGACGAAAGAAGACATAACGCAGCCTAAATCGAAAATGACGGTCCAGCGTGGCTTTTGACGTGCCGGGTCCGAAAAACATTTTTCATGTCCAGTTTGCACTTGCCTAGGTCATTGAATGCGCGATGCCTAAGCATGTGATTGATCACCGCAGCATTTGCGGCTGCAAAGCCCTGAAGAGTCCCAAGGGGGACGAAAGCTAGGCATTTAATACCTTGCTGCAGTCGTAGAAAAGCTACGTTGGGCTTGAGCGACCTGTTCTAAAGTTGTGCTTTGTGTCGCTTTTTTCTTTGATCAAAAACATGTTTCGATGCTGTGAATAGATTTTTCAGAACATGTTCGAAGAGCCAACTGAGCATGGCTACAAAGGATGTCCCACTGTGTCTTTTAGTTCGAGATGTGGGCATTTGGCAATCATGGCGGAAGTGGATTTGATGGAAGTCTTGGCATTTATCGATTTTATCGAGGGTCCTAACATACGAAGCCGGCCCAGCTGCCTGGCTCAGTTCAAAATAAAAGGACTCCAATTGTCAGGTGTTTAAAGCAAGGTGCAGCGCAAGTCCAGTCTGTTTGCTTTCAAGCTCACATCATTTGGACCTTCTCAGCATGCATACTAACATAACAAGTTGGTATCTCCGATTGAGCGCAGCAGCAGCCCCTGCAAGTGCATGCGCTATCATGCGCTGGAAGCTGCAACCAGCTCCAGTCTGGCTCAAGCTGCTGTTCTTTGCTCGTTCACAAACGAAGTCGAACACGAGTGCGGAGCTATTCAGATCCAGATCCGAAGACCGGGGTGAAGCCAACTTGAACAGGTCTGTGCGAAAGACGTTTTCGTAACCCGTCACAGTCCATTTGCAGAGTTGGAGATGGCATCGCTCCGCTCGACGATGTGAAACAGCGGTTCCAACCGGTGAACCGGTGCGAAGTTGGTGTGAAACATGTTTTCAGTTCAGCCAACTGAGACTGGGCCTGTTTTCCGCGTGCTTTCATCCTCTAGTTGTGCTATGGAGCCGCAAAAACGGCATAATTGGTTTTGTGACCAGAAAGGCCTGATATTTGGCCTAGAACCAAAGTGTTTTCACGTCCAAGTTGTCACGTCCAAGTTGTCACGAACCCGCCAGTGTCCGTCACTGTCATGTGCGATATCGATATGTTCGATGCATGACGAAACCTTGTGCAGAGAAACGGAGCCGACGGTCTGGAAAGGCCCATCCTGTCCATCCTGTTTCTTGATTCGACATGTTTCTTCGATCTGTGGCGGAAGTGGATTTGATGGAAGTCTTGGCATTTATCGATTTTATCGAGGGTCCTAACATACGAAGCCGGCCCAGCGGCCTGGCTCAGTTCAAAATAAAAAGACTCCAATTGTCAGGTGTTTAAAGCAAGGTGCAGCGCAAGTCCAGTCTGTTTGCTTTCAAGCTCACATCATTTGGACCTTCTCAGCATGCATACTAACATAACAAGTTGGTATCTCCGATTGAGCGCAGCAGCAGCCCCTGCAAGTGCATGCGCTATCATGCGCTGGAAGCTGCAACCAGCTCCAGTCTGGCTCAAGCTGCTGTTCTTTGCTCGTTCACAAACGAAGTCGAACACGAGTGCGGAGCTGAAATATCATGAAATTCATGCGAAATATACTGTTTTTGTAGGAACGGAGCTCGGAGAGTCAAAACTTTGATCGAGCAAATTTTGAAAAATCTCTGCTTGCTTCTGAAACGTGCAACGGAGAAACGACGAAGTTGACCCGGACCGCTCTCCGCTGCACCGCACTGTGCCGCTCTTCTCTTCTCACCACAGTGTCGCTCAGGTTCGACCTCGACTGGCGCTAAACTCCAAGTGGAGTTTTCGTGTCCTTCTTCCAAAACTTCGTCTCTCTCCCTCTTCCAAGTCTTCCATCTCTCTCAAAATAACTCAGAAGACTCTGTCTTCCTGCAGATGACTCTGTCTTTGACTCCTTTGGCTCCTTTAGCTCCTTCCCTTACTGACGACATGTCATTGTAAAGGGACGCTCTCAAGCGTCATAGGCGAGTGGTAACGACATTTGCCGTATTTGACAAAGAAAAACTGGTTACTCCGTGTCTACTCCGTGTCTTCTGCTCCGCACATCGGATGATCGCCGGAGCTTCGATTCGCTACCGCTACGGGTCCTACGGATCCTACGGGTCCTCGATTCGTGTCCAGATTTGGCCTTTGCTTTCATTTTGCCCAAGCGGAGAGCGACACACAAGTTGAACACGTGTACACTGTGCACACCTCGGGCAAGTCTCGGTTTCGCGCTTTGAAGCGAGAAGTGCGAAGCGTGCGAAGCGTGAAGAGGAGTCGAAGCGTGAAGAGGAGTCGAGTCGCCGAAGCGTGAAGAAACACCGACCACTCCGACCGACTCGGACGCACTGGACCACTCCGCCCACCGCTCTGCGCCGCCCTGCGCCGCCCTGCGGCCTGCACCGGCCCTCTTTGACGAAGTCAGTGCGTCATTTCGTTTTCAGTGCAACCTGAAAACAAAACAAAGTCCAAAGACAAGTTTCGAGATAAGTGGAAGACTTTCTTCGCTCGAGACTTGAAACATGGCTCAACGAGCATAGCAGGGCTCGTGCAGTTTGCCTTCGTGGGTGAGTGAAAAGGAGCGACGTGTTTGTCGGTCGCAGAGTGAAGTTGCGAAGCCGGAGGAAGACGGAAAAATATCTGCGCGGTCCTGAAATGACTTTAATCGGTAGGACGGGTAGCACATGGTAGCACTGTTGCTTCGATGAAAACCAAACATCCAGAAACGTCTCACCGTCTCACCCTCCCAAACATACGGCATAGTTCTTATCCGGTCTGTCCGGGCGCCGGTCCCCAATTCGAAGATCTCGCACAATCGCAGGCAGACCCGGTAACACCGAAATCAGCTTGACCACGCACATAGCGTCAAGGTCGTAGGACGCAAGCCAGTGCACAAAAGACTACCCGTACACGTGCAATTGAAATGAACCTGCAAGTCAGAAGGCAAGATCAACAATCAGAAGAAGGAGGATAAGAAGAGTTGAATAGAAAACAAATCAGATTTATGTATTGAAACATTCTTGCTGACCTTCTTTCTGGCATATCTTCTGACTCTCTGTTGAAGTCTGGCGGGGAACACTGCCATCTAGAACTGGCGGTTCAGGTCCGGCGGGGGACACTTGGTCTTTTGGCACTGGGTCTTTTGGGAATCCTTCTTTCAGCCACTAAAGGCTTATCTTCCGATCCCATCATACCACACCCTTAGTGGCCTCACATCAATGCTTGCCACGCTGCACTCCGACCTTTCCCCTAGCCCCTTCATTCTAGCTGGCAAAAGACACAAATCTCGTAGCGCGCTTTGCTGCAGCGCCGATTCGGGGCGAGGCTGTCAGTGGATGTTAGCGGTGAGGCGCCTCCATAGGTGAAGGAGCAGTTGGGGCATGGTGGAGATTGCACGTGGAGCCCTGAGCAACAGTTGGACATGCTCGAAACGCGTGATACTTTCTTTGTTCCATATTTTTTGTGAATTGGTGATGGGTGTACCCATGAACTTCTCATATCCTTCGTCTCCCTGCTTCCTTTCTCTCCCCTCTTGCATCTCAGAACAAGTGCGTATGGCAGCGGAGCTGAGAAAGAGGTAGCCCCTCTGGAGCTGTGATTGAAAAGCCCCTAGGTGACTAGGATTTCGGGTGCGATTTCGAGCCATAGATTTGAGGCCTTTGGAACTCCTTGCCACAAGGAGGAGATCAGAGAAATGCTTCAAACTGTAGCACAGAGTACGCTGGCAACAACATCAGAGGCAGTAAAGAAAGCCGTTGAGGACAAGAAGTCATGAACAACAGATTGGTCAAAATTGATAGCAAAGCCTAACATTTTTGACTACAAGATGAAGAGGTTAAGGCATTCAGAGAGTGGTCATGGGTCTTTGAAACTGCTGACGAAGGCTACATGAAGGACTTGAAAGAAATGCATGAGAAGCCAAATGAGGCAACTGAGGAAGACTTGGCAACTGAGGCAGAGAAGACCAGGTGCATCAAGCTCTATGGACTATTGGCTTCATTGACGGCTTTGATGCCTGGAGGAGTTTGGAAGAAGGATTGAAACCAACTTCAAACGCAAGAGGCTTAGCACTCTTGGGAGCAGCCACTACGTGGCCAGCATTTTCAATGAACAGTGCACTATAACCTCGACTCTTGAAGCTTGAGGGAGTATTTGATGAGACTTCAGGAAGGGTTGAAATCTGCTATTGTTTTGAGATGTGTAGGTGGACAGCTCAAAATCCTACTTGACAA